CAGTAAGGAAGGTTGGGGAGTGATGAGGGGTGCGGGGGTGTTCTGAGGGTTGCAGACCAACCGTTACCATGGTGAACCACTTCTGTCAAAACCACCAAGGTCACAACTGCTGACCTGCAGTGTTATGGGACTTCTGAATAGCATACTGTATATGGACATGATGATATCTCTCTTTCTTTCTTTGTTCTTTTCCTTTTCTTCTTTACGTACTTTCCCCCTTTTTTCTGTTTTGCTTTTCTCCATTGTTCTTCTTTCTGTCTTTTATCTCCTCATCTTTGTTTATCTCTCGTCTTCTGTTTGTCTTTCTCTCTGTGTATAACTGCATTTCCTTCATTTGGCCTTTCACTCGTTTGTTCATATTTAAGACTGACTAATTGTACCATTATGAGACCTGTGGTGTTGCTGAATCCATTATGCATGGCCAGTGCTGACAGTGAGTCTGAACACAGCCTGTTTTGAGTCATTATAATTCAGTTTGCTAACACACAGCCATTGTGCTTGTGTGGGGTTAGGGGAGATGGTATGATAAAATATTGAGGGCGAGCAAGGCAGCTGCAGATGCTAGCTGTCATGTGTGAGCGAATGAATGTTATGACAAGCATGTTTAAACATTCATGCGGGGAGGAGAGTTTAGGAGGGCTTTTCATTAACACCAATATGTCTTCGTCTCCCTGGTGCAGGCACTGCTGGTGTAAGCATGACAACAACAGGGAGGAGAGGAATTAACATCTTGAGAAGAAACTGTCACAGACACACGCATAAAGAGAGGTATAAAACCCTCGATCCTGTGCATGAGCACACAACAACGTACACATTTTACATTGGCAGAGTACTCTTCAATACCTCTCATCTAACGTGAAAAGTACTGAAATTGACACATTCAGACTCTAACAGATGGCAAAACAACTTTCCCTTGTTTACCAGAACAACTATCTGAAAGTGTAACATCGTGTTCTGAGCTGATCAAATAGCTCACAGTAGAACTGAGCAACACATTCAAATAGGAAGAAACAGGAGTGCAATGGGTTCTCACATCAACCACAACAATGACACAATAGAAATAATTTTTCAAAGGAAGAATATGGATGTGGGAGGTTTCTAGGCCAAACTTATATCACCCACTACATTGTGAGGTTGTCAGGAGACTTGACCTGGTAGCAACAGCGCAATTTCTTGACAGTTCCTGGAAACTGGAGAGAAGAAACCCTATTTGCGGCATTTGTTGGGTGCAAAGCAATGGCCAGTCTGTTTATATAACCTTGACTAAGCTAGATGAAGAGACACTTTCACAGGTAGGGGGTTGAAATAACAAAGCTGTAGGGTGAACACTGTCTCATGCTCATTTCTTACCTAAGTCCTATCAACATGTCCGTGGCACATGGCCACATCAATAATTTTTTTCTGTGGCATGTTATTATGGAAGAGGCATACACATGTTAGCTCACTAAAATGCCATCAAATGGAGTGCAAAATCAATACCTATGGTGATGATCTCATGAAGTCAAATCAAGGAATAGGAAAAAAGAGGAGCGTCAAGTATTCTCAACATAAGTAGCTTTGACGTGCAAAATGTGTTTGCATAACATGAGCTTTAGATAATGTCATAAAGGCTTTAAATGCAGCACGGTGCATTAAAATATGCACAGTCATCTGTTTTAGCTACACCTTGATGCAAACATTTTGATTTAATCTAGTTTTCACTGGTCAAGCAATTCCATTTTGATATTCAAATTTGGTGTGTATGTGTGTGTGCGTGCCAGTGCATGTTCGTGCAAGACTGATCTAATCAGTCTTAAATCAGCTAATAAGCCAAGGACACAGAGGAGATGACTCAGCTGATGTGAGCATAAGCTAATATTAGCATCGCACCCCCATTCAAGACCTGTACTTCACACAGTAGCATCCGGTGTTTGGTCTACCCCATTACAAAAGTGCAGGCTTTGAACATTAAGCCCTGCAGTTTAGCACACCACAGTGAATTCCATTAGCACATTAGCAAAGGTGCCATGACCTAATGCTAATGTTGGGTGCAGCATTTAATACAATTCTCTCTTTTTTTTTAAAAACACCTTAAGTCAGTTTTGAGGGTTGCCCTTAAACTGTTCTAAAAAAGAAAACCAAGGGCAATCAAAGGACATGGAAGGAAAAAAAAGACAGACAGACATGGAGACAGATTTACAAACAGACTTATACAGTAGCATGCAGCTGACAGGTGGTTATAATTCCAACTAATTCTGACACTGTCTTTTAATTGAAGCTCTCACACAGTCTGCTGTACAAAGCAAACCAGAGCACATGAGCACTACTCTGTCAAAACTAATTTTCATCTACACAACTCCACATGATAAACTGCATAGCTAAATGTTGCAAACACAGGGAAACATGCGCATCCCACAGAGGCAAACACACACGTACATGAATACTCAATACATACAAACATACACACAGAAACTTAAACTGACTATTAATTAAAAGCCAGAGCATGAACACTACTCGGGATAGGCGGCTTGCAACACCACAAATATGGGAAGACTTCCTGTAAGACATAAATCTTTTGTGTTCTCTCTCTCTTTCTCTCATGGGCACAACAAAGACAGTCTTGTCTGGGTGCCCCCCTCCCTTCTCTCTCCTCTCCATTCATTATAAGCACAAGAAGCTGTGGTCAGGTTCAAAGAAAATCTACATTCGCTGTCTCTTTCAGTCACTCCCTGTGTCTTTTTACTTTCTGGTGTGCGCTCGCTTTTACTCATTTTCTCCCTCTCTCGATCTCCCTCTGTCCCTCTCTCCGAGTCTCTCTCCCTCTCCTCTCTAAACACTGTCTCTTCCACATGGCCCGGATAATGAGTGGAGAAGCTAAACGAGAGGAAACACTGCTCACTATTAAGATGGGGACGCTGACTGAAGGTTTTAAATAAACGGAGAGAACTTGAGGCCAAATTGTATTTCCAAGGACATAAACTAATGGAACAGGCAGACATTCTCTGAACAAATACACACTCTGTTTAAACTACCATAATAGTTCTAAAAATATACATGTCCATGTGGATCCAACTGAGAGACGGACAGGCAGAGGGCAGACAGAAATACATATAAATGCATATATCATCACATATGTATGTAGAAAAACACATGAATTCAATAACACTTCTTTCCTTGGTGTGGAAAAGCATATTACCTTGCATTCAAAAGCAGAACAATAAGGACATGAAAAAACATAAATGCTTGTCTATGTTATTGAAAACTAATTAGGCAAATGTGTTTTCTTAAGTGTCTCCAATGTGCTCTCAGGCATTTAAATCCACACCCACATATAAACACAAAGAGGAGCTCTCTATGAGGTTAATTGGGTTATCTAGGCTGATTAGCATAACGAATTAGGATGCTTGTTAACAGATAAGTATTATTTATTCAATTAGTGCTCTGTGTGTATGTATGAAGCTGTGCATGTGTATAGATCCCCTTCATCCCTGGCACAAGTTCAAATGAAAATGAAGCAAAGCTAAGCAGGCATGAAGTGAGACCTGTGGGTGTATGTGTGTGTGTGTGTGTATGTTCACTTCACAGATGCTCACATCAGGTGCCAGACACCCCCACCCCCCTACTACCTCCACACACACGAAACCATACACCAAGCTTGTTGGGCTGTAGCTCTTAAATCCCTAATCATCATCATTAGGCTACTGTTTAGCATAATTAGTATTGTTAACCAGATGAGCTGAGTCGAGCCAGGCTGTGCCAGTCACAGCAAGTGACATATGTCACCCTCCTGGCACCTTTCCAGGCTGGTGAAGAGGCTACTTGTCCCCATCAGGTGGGTTTATGGCACATTTGCATGTTTTCACTGATTGCTGATGGATAATGTAGCAGCTGATGCTCGCAGTGCATTCTGACGCAGTGGGTAAAAAAATGTCCAAAGGAAAGTGATTTATTTTTTTTGGAAGGTAAACAGCTTGTAAAAGTGACACAGCGCTCGCAGTTATATCAGTTAATGGAACAATACTGAGCTCATTTCACCAATTTATCCATTCATGTTTGCAAATGCAGATGCTGCCTTTTGTTTGTGATGCTTAACATGAGCTTCAAGCCGACAGTAAACACGAAAAAAGCAAATCAACAACACTCCTCTAGTCTTCAGCTCACAAGTGAAAACTCACAAACATACTCCAACACTCACAAATAACCAGAGAGGGAAAATGAAAGAGAGAGAAAGAGAGCGGGAGCGCTACATTTACTGAAATTAAACATTTTCTCATCAGCCTGAGGGTGCAGCAGGCCCACTGATGTATTATTCATCCCCACTTCACAAAGGAACATTAATCAATTATGAAGATATGAGGATCTTAAAGTATAGAGGAGAGACGAAGAGCGGCCCGTTCGTATTAATATGCGGTCGCAATTGCGCACCCCAACCCCCCCACCACCCTCTTGCTTCTCAAATCAATATTTTGCAGATTAATTTGGAGCGGTTGTGGCGAGATGGCAGGATGTAAGGGGAGGGTGGGGGGCGGGGGTGTCTTAGGTCTGAATTAAGGTGAAGTGTTTTGTTGTTGTTTTTTCTACAAGTCTGTATAAGTGCGCATACATGCATGCGTGTAAATATCATGTCTGTAAGTAAACATAGTTACATCAATTAAGAAAGCTTCATCGCACTACAAGTTGACACACTAATTTAAGGCCCTAAAGACAAAACGGAACGTAAATATTCAAGTTCGAAAGAGGAGAGACTATTTTAAAAATGTAAATTAAATTATTAATTGAATGTTGATGAGTCAACTATTGAGTGTGATATTTTGACAGCTTCCCTTGGTTATACAAATTGTTGCTGTGCAGGTACTTATCCCAACTATTTTTCAAAAAAAGGCATTGTTTCATACACGAGAATTAAAATGAGGGAACACAATGAAGAGAATCAATTTTCTTATTTGCAGCCAAGTTTACACATTATTGTTGAGTAGCCTGGTTAGATACAATAGATCTACTTAGTACATTAATATACTCACCTCAAAATTCAAAATAGCTGCCTTCTCAGCCCACTTTTTAATGGCTTGAGCATGGGCCTTTCTCTCCTTCTTAATCTCCCTCTTCGCATCCTCCACTTTCTTCACCCACTCCTCCTCTCTCTTTTGTCTCTCCTGCCCTCTCCTCTCCTCTGCTTTTAGACAATCCTTTTCATATTTCAGCCTCCGTTCCTCTTCTCTTTGCCTCCATTCCTCCTCTTTTCTCTTCAGCTCCTCCTGAAGCTCCATCGCCCTCACGCTCAGCTTGGAGAGCTAAAGTCAGGCAGAAAAAAGGAGAAATGTGCAGACAGTCACATCTCTGCACTCTGTAAGACAAAGGAGGTAGCAGCCACTTAATCTAAAAACTAATCTGAAACACCAAGAGGCCCATTGCAAGGCAGCATCCTGTAAGACAGCGACGGAGAAAGGAGGTAAAAAAAAAAAAAAAAGACATTTGAAGTGACTGATTGACAGCAAGTGCATTTACGTTTACATTATCAGCTGTTTTTCATGTGCATGTGTAAGTACACGTGTGCAAATAGGAATCCCAACTCATCAGTGGTGGAAAGTAAATTTACTTAATAACTGTACTTTACTTGTATATTTTCATTTTATGCTACTTTACACTTCTACTCCACTTTCCAGATGGAAATGTTGAACTTTTTACTCCACTGCATTCATTTGACAGGTGTAGTCACTAATTATTTTTTTTCATTTCATTAACTTCTCTTCTTCTCTTTATTTCTCTTCATCTCTCAATCGCTCTGATTTATCTTGTCACCCTTTGAAGGGGTCTACTGGAAACTACTTGTCTAAACTACCTAACTGTATATAACTAGACCCACCAACAATAAAACATCAACAATAAAATGCTGCTTACACAGTGATGAATCAGTTTTATCTAATAAAGTCATACATAATAATGAATAGGTCATGTGGGACATTTTACTGCAGATTAAATACTTTTATTTTGGATACTCAAAGTATATATTGATGACAATATGCATTTTACACAGTATTTTTACATAGTTGTATTGGTACATTTACATGAGCAAAAGATCTGAAATCTCTTTCCGCCGCTGCAACTCATGCACATGAGTCTCTGCCCACCTGAGCATGTGCGCCGGCACCCTCTTGTTGCAGCAGCTGAACGTTAGCTCGCAGTTTTGTGATGCAGATGTCTTTCTCAGCAATCTCCTTAATGTTGTCTTTCTGGATCCGCTGCAGACAGGAGAGCTCACTCTGCAGGTGCGCCAGCCTCTCACTGCTTCCCAGCGCCTGCAGTGCAGTCTGGCCCACGAAGGAGTTAAATCATTAAAGAGTCTCTCAAAGGGAGAAAGTTGTTTTTAGTATGTGACTAATTATCTTCACGCTGTGTTTCAAAAATGTTAATTACTTCTTCACAAATGTCATGCAGTAATATTAATCTATTTTTATCTGTGTTTTTTTTTAAATAGAGCTCTTTGTAATTAAGGAAGATTGCCATCTACCATAAGTATAATTTATTAAAATGTTTATATTTATTCCTCTTCAAGTAAAACTGCAACTCTTGACGAAAACATGAACCTGAACCACTATAAAAGAATGATGTGATATGGATTATGCAAAAGAAACAGTGCAACAATTAGTCATTCAGATATTATCACAGAGGAAAACATTCTACGCTTACAAATTCTAAAGAATTAAATGTGTAATATGCATCATTTTCATTGTTAAGCGTGTACAGTTTTAATTGGGCCTCATAGGTGTCAGATTCTGATAACTTATTCAGTTCATACAGAACTCACTTATTGCTAACAAACAAAGATGAAATTCCGTGGCAATCATCTTTTCCAGGATGTGTGTGTGTGTGTGTGTGTGTGTGTGTGTGTGTGTGTGAGTCCATGCCAGCAGATCTATCCGTGCATCTGCATTACAGGCGTACCAGTTAAACAGAAACATAAGCAGAATGAAAAAAATGGATCCACACTTGTTGAGAATATGATTAACAGAACAAGCTCCAGTTACTCTACTTGTTTCTCTAAGGCTCTGTAATCACACAAACCACTAATTAGCAGCAGTGCAAATGAGTCAACTCACAAGCAGCATAAACAAACAGTAACCAGCCAACACACACATAAACAACCAACAAGCTCGGGTTTACCACAAGCACAAGTGTGTGTGTATGTGTGCATTTCTGCAAGCCTGTGTTGTGTTTATGTGTGTCTTAACCGTAAGCCACAGAAGACAGTAAAACAGCAGTGGGTATAATTTAGTGACACCCTGTAAGGAGGTGTGGGAAGGCCGTAAAAAACTCTCCCTTTTAATCCTGGCCGGCAACGCCATGTTTGTTACCCAGGGCTCTGAGATATGCTGGTAATTCATCACACACGCCTCGGCTTCCTGTTAAACCTGGCTGCACATGGAGCGCTTCTAGCATAGCTGCCAAACCAATATCGTAAAAAAAAACAAAAAAAACAAGAAAGAACGAAAGAAAGACTTCTCTACCTCTCAGACAGGCTTCTAAACAATAACAAGCACTCTGCAAAAAAATCTCCTTAACAAGTCATTTAATTGTGTCAGTCTTAGAACTGTAAAAAATATTCTGCTAAAATGATAAGATTCAATTTCTTTGTTTACATTGCAGGCTTAATTATTTTAGGAAGCACCTTAAAACCTGTGAGAAGACCTTGAAATAATGGAAGTCACGCCAAATACCTGTAGGCGTACACTATATACTGTATTCAATAAAAATTAGAACATTTCAAACAATGTAGGTATTTAACCAATAGGCAGATGTGTTCACAAAAAGCTTTAAAGGCTGGACAGATATATGTTGATGACATTTTCATGGTGTGATCCTGTAGTGTATGCTTCGTTACTTAGCTTAAATCAGGACAATTTGATTACCTTTTGCTTTTGCTGGAAATTCTCTCCAAGCTCCCTCTCCAGATCAGAGATGACCATGTCCTTGGTTTGCAACTGGATTTTCAGATCTTCTAACTCTGATGCTATCTGGACCAAGGAAGTGGCACTACAGCAGAAAGACAGTGACAAAGAGAGGGAGAGGATGATAGATGACAAAGAAGAATTACAGGGAAAAAAACAGGTGAAAGTAAATCCCAAAAATGTTACACGATCAAGTACTGATATATTCACAAGTACAATTTCCAGTGTATTGAATATGTTAAAACGGTTTGTGATTGAGATTTACAGAGGTGAAAGCCTAATTATCATCATATGATCTGAACATAGTAACATGAATATGGCAATGTACTATTTATCAGTGTTTTCTAAGCCAGTCTTTAAATTGGTTTACTTTATTAGAAGAAGAAACACAGAATCACATAATTGACTTTGAATGAACCTTGATGGTTAATTAAGATGTTTAATTAATTTATGTAATGCTTTCTAACTTAGAATAATAAACTTTAAAAACTAACCACTATGTGAACAGCATGCAGTGTGCATGCAATGTAATAGGTGATTAAAAAAAAAATAAAAATCCTATTCAAAAGCAGCAAAGAGATGCTGAGCACGGTGAAATTTGTGCTAGGTGACAGCAACTGGAGCTGATATATGTCTGTGTGTGAGTGTGTATGTGTGTGTGTTTCCCAGCGGTGAAAATACGTTAACTCTGCCCAGACACCTCTCTGAGTCACCAGTGACAGCTGTCACACACCCAACATGGAAGGAGAAAAAAAGAAGAGGAAAAAAACAGATCACACAGTACTGTGAGATACTCTTCACAAACACACAGGCACGTACACACACACACACACACACACACACACACACACAATTTCATATTTACCAGCCTCATGAGATGAGTTATTCTGATGAAACTTTGCGCAGATTAAAAATGTTAAACTCACATTTGATCAAGCGTGTCTACACGTTCACACCAAGCAGGAAAGGAAAGGCAAGATTTGACAAAAGTGACATGTGAGTGGATAGAGAGCGCTGAGAGTTAAATCTTTCACTTCAGGAAAAAAAAACAACTTTTCAGTCAAATGGCGTAAAAGCCACAGAGGAGAGTGTGAAAAAACTGACTTCAGGTTATAGTCTTTTTCTGTCTCTAGAAGAGAATGGGAAAGTGTGTGCGCTGCTGTGCTATCAATTCACTTCTTTTTTTCATTCCACTCTAACTACAGTGTTCCTTTGTTATGAATTATCACTTTGCTGAACATTTCACTAAGAAAATCTGTTTAAAAAAGAATGTACAAAAACTATGTGTACTCCTAAGAATGCACAGAAGCCTTTAGATGTATATAAATGTGTAGACAAAGACAACCTTTCCCTAAAGATATGCACAAATTTCATTCCCCAACTTTTACAAAGGACAAAACCTTCTACAGTTGCATTATAACATGATTTTTCATATTATTTTAGGGCTTTTTAGATGAGCGGAGAGAGAGGGAAAAGGCTTGGTCTATTTATTAGCATTTTCAAAACTTATTTTCCTGTCAGTCTGGTGGAAAAATACTTAAATCACCTCAAATTTAGGGGAGATTCTTTAGAGACGAATGGTCTAAAATGGGAACAAGTTGAAAATCGAAAGAGGGTTTTGAATGAAAAGCAACTGCAGCCAATTTCATTCCTATTTTCACCTGCACAGTGGGGTGGTGGATTTTAGAGTGCTGTGTGTAAATGCATATTTTTGACTACAGAATACTGCTGATATAAGGAACATCATCTTTTTAAAGACACAGAAATGCACACACACCAGGCTAATAACTTAGTCAACAAAGATTAAAAAATTGAAGAAAATAAGCATAGTTTGTATTACTTAATGGTACATAAGGTTCTATTTTCTGGACCATTAATGTATGAAACTGGTTTTTAATACAACAGGTAGAGGTTGTATTTTATACTTCTTTGCTTCTTTTAGGACAATAAATATGAAATGCCATTCAAGCTGGTGCGTGTGTGCATGTATCGGTGTGTGTGTGTGCATATTAAGTCACGGTTATGCATGTAACAAATGAGGCTATATGATTTACTATATTGTTATATACAATACAGTAGTTGTGCTAAACAAATGACACAATGTCAAACCAACAGATGAACAGGGAATTCCTATTTAGAGCCTTAAGTGTTGTTATGATTAGTGTGTGGACAGAGAGAGCAGGGCAAGTGAATGTGACTTAAGAGGGTGAGTGTGTGTGTGTGTGTGTGTGTGTGTGTGTGTGTGTGTGTGTGTGTATCATCGTGAGTGTGTGATATTAAAGCAGGCTCTCAATATCTCAAGCTGTCACTCAGGCCTATTAGGCAAGGCTAACAAAATTAGTCATGAATATGCAGTAATAACATGCAAATTGCCACCCCTTCCCCTGCCCTGTGTGCGTGTGTCTGTGTACGTATAAGTGAGCGTGTATGTGTGTTTGCCCTCAGGGCTATAGACATTGGCTCTGTAAACCCAATTCTTTCTACATCATTACAGCAACAAAACATAATTCATACGAATGATATAAACATGCATGTATCCTGGCATACATGCAGAAGCGCACACATGCATGCATGCACACACACAGGTCACAGGTCCCCTACACTAACCTCTTCACATCCCAGGGCTAATATACTGCAGGTTGATGTTTTATGTTGAGAAAAGAGTTTTAGGGTTTCGGCTGCCACATTTTATGCTTAAACACACAACCACGCACGCATTTGTGCACATGCGTCCACAAACATGTAGACCGTCTGTTGCCTCCATGTCCCCAGGGTGATGTTTGACACAGCCTGGGTGCTGCCACAGCAATTAACCTCCCTGTTAATGAGAAGAGCTCTGTCAAGCAGCCAGATGGCACCGCCTGGCATGCTGCCATGCACACACACACACACACGCATGCACGCATGCACACATACAGTACTACATACACAGATACACCCTCAACCACATAAGACATGCACATGCACATTTATGCGTATGCAAACACACACACATAATCTTGTCTCCCTGCTGCTGTACACCTAACTGTTGCTAGTTGTCAGCGCCCCTCACCCCTCCCTAAGGCACCCCCCTCCCTCTTCACTTCTCTCCTGCATTGTCTTCTATGGCTCTCCATCCTTCCCCTCGTCCCTCCCTCCCCCCATCTCTGGCAGCTGCTTATCCATGTCGCAGCACTGCAGATGTCACAACTCACCAGCTGGGAAAACAGCAGGGGAGGAGAAGAGAGGAGAAGATTTTAGGGGAGAGGAGGAGTTTGTAACATCTTCGTTTTTGACAGGGAAGCAGCCGACTGGATGAAAATTTACAGATTCATACATGATTGATTTAGGCATTAGATCAGTTGTGTTAAGATTTGGGACTTTTTATTAAAGATTGTAAAAATTTTAGAAACTGTTTCCACTGTCAGTTGTATGATTGTGAATTTTATTTACGAGAGTGTGCTCTTGTATAGATAAATGTAATATCTATGTGTATATAACAATATGTATGTGTGTGTGTGTGCGTGTGTATTAATGAGCGAGGCACTTGGCCTGGGCCAGTCTGCATGTCCACACAGCAGCCCACCAGGCCCGTGTATTGATCAGTTAGCTTGGCCTAATAGGAGAGGAGCCTGACCTGGGAAAGTCAATATGGAGAAAAAGAGACATTTCCTCCTCCTGTCCTGAGAGAGAAGTGGAAAAGGGGGGGGGGGGGAGAAAGAGAGAAGGGAGGGATAGAGAGGAGTAAAATAGAAAGGAATGTGCATCTACTACTGTCCTTGCAAAGAAGAAATTGGTAAGGGAAGACTTGGGAGACTGTCAGGAAAACTGCTGGACAAGAGAAAAACAAGCAATGCCATAACAAAAATAATAATATAACAATAATGAACCTCCAGTCTCCTAAGCCTAAATACCTCATCACTTTTGTTAAAAAGAAAAGTTTGGAGTTTTGAATTAGAACAGTTACACTTAGGGATACTGCAAGTGTGAAATAACATAAGTTCCTACCTTTCCCAAATGAGAATCAGGATATTCTGTCAAAGCTTCTTTTTTACCTAACTAACTTTTGACTGCTGTTGGCAAAAGAAAAACAGCACTCAAGTTAGATCTAGTGTAAAAAAAACTCTGCAGGAGATTATACTAAGGGAAAATAATTAAAAAATTGGAGGGAGATGGAAAATAAAAAACTGACACCCACTCACACATCAATACATCGATAGATCAATGTGTGAGTGTGTGTGTTCTTGTACGCCATTTCAACGGAAATATATAAATAAATCTGTAGATAAACAAAAAACCAGAGGAAATGGAAAAGTAGATAAAAGACTTAGGTTTCACCACGCACACCCACACATTTACACACATACACACGCACACACCTGGCTGAGTGATGCTACCCTGGAGGGTGGCTTCAATCTGATGTGTTTAATGTTGACGCTGGTGGCAAAAAACACACACACTCACCCGCTGTTTCAACCTGCCTGTCATTTCATTTCATGAGACCTGATTTACTCATTTCATTTATTTCATTTTTTTTATCATTATTATATGTGCAGCCATTTAAAACGCTCAAGGTATGATGCAAATCCCCGTGTGTCTGACAGCGAGTACACCAAGGATCCATCACGCCCTTCAGTGCCTTTCGCAGGAATGGCAAAGAAACCCTGTACTGCCACAAACTCAATTGTGCCACATTGTGCCAGACCACCGATTCCTGCTTGGCTGGGTGCTTTAATTGGCTACACTGCAGGCTGTCAAACTACTGACAGGTTACTTCCAACCATATTCGGATATGTTCTTAGTTTTCATATGACAGTTTCTGAAAAAACAAATATTGACTGTAATATTATGCCTATGTTTGGAAATCAATTACATTCTGTATTGTCAGGGCAAGACATTAATGGGAAGTTGATGTGAAGAAGTAAAATTAAAGTGCATGGTTGTTACATTAGGTCAGTTTTATTTGCAGGACATTTTTCACTGACAAAAACAGGGTGTGCCTGATCCTTCTCAAATTTAGCTCACTTCACATTGCTGCTCAACTGATAAAGGCACTTACTTTATAGCCAGAGCTAAACACATTTAAAATTGTCACTGGGTAACTTCAGCTTCAGCTTCAGTAAGCAATTGAGATTATTAGAACTCAAGTCATTTTCATATCAAACCTCTTCCTGGTCTGGTGAGTCCAGGTGTCTAGCTAGCGATGGAAAAAACTAAGAATAGGCACGTTATATATGACGATGACGATTTAGATTCAGAAAATGCTTCTTTCATAAGTTTTGTCAAAATATGTGAAACTTAAGGTATAAATCTGCCTTTCCAGAAAGGTCTTAAGTAGAAACAGAACAAGTCTTTAGGGGCCTTGGAGCACTGCATGGTGGGAAATATCATATGGGGATTTGCATATTGCCATAGGGACAGTGATGTTGCAGCAACTCCCTACAGAGCACAACCTCCCTGAGGACAGACAGAGTCCCTGAGGCCAACTCTGTTACCTTTCCCTGCACTGGGGGCCCAATGTGTGTGTGTGTGTGTGTGTGCGGTCGATTCATGGAGTTATTAAAATGAAAAAATTAGTTATTTGAATCAAGAGTAAACTTTTGCTGAGAAAAAAAATTATCTTGTTGATGAGGAGGGAAGCTGAGTAACCAATAATTGTTAGAAGTCAGACAGACAACAAGCCTGGCTATACATACCTGTGTGGGATGTGAGCCGCAGTTCCAGAAAGCTCATCCAGCAACAAAGTCCTCAGATCAACCTCACACACCTGGGAAAGAAACACATAGGGCATTTGCAACAATGATTATTAATTTGTTATGGACATGTGTAATTTACATGTTGGAGTGACTTTTAAGTACATTATTACCAAGTAGATTAATCACTGTTACATACTAATGTGGTCTTTTAAGGGAAAATAAACAGAGAGTTACATTTTCACCTTAATACAACTTTGAATTCTATTTATTAATTAAACACTCAATAAAGGCAAATCACTTTGTAGAAAGTGCTGTAAACTGTGATGAAGTTTGACACACAGAGGTGTGAATTGTGTCACCCCTGACTAATTGCTTGCCAATTTGCATATTGATGACCATGGCAACAAGACGACAGTGTTATGGGAAAAAGGACGACAAATTAAAAGACAGTGTGCAACTGTGCAAACAATTGATGGGAGAAAAGAATGCCTCTGCTTTCAGCATTGAGGGCCAACTGCGCACAAATCACCAAAATCTAATCAAAAGGTAGACAACTTCAAATACAGAAGAAAGGATCGAAGATTTGTAATATGATTACTCTAATAACCTTATAATTTGGCTTTCACCTTTAGGGATTTAAAAATATACATATTTGACGCAATAGTAGCACAGGAAGATAAAGAGATAAAGAGAGTACATTTGTAGATAAGAGTGAACACGCAGACACAAACACGCAGGTCTTCTGTTGATCCTCAGATACAGTACAACTCCTTGGACCCAAATAACCCTTGCCATTACCCTGTCTGCCTGTCTCTCTCTGTCTCTTTTACTGACTGAACATTGGTCTGTGGAGGACGAGTGGGAGATAAGGGTCAGCATTGTTATTGTGAGGTCAATTCATAATGTATCTGTACAAAATGGGAACATAAAGAAAAATACATATGAAGCTAGCTCAAAGAAGAGGTAAACCGCTACGGTGGCCCAGCTTTTTCATCACACAGGATGATTAAAAGGAGAGAATAAACACACAGGGACAGATGCAAGGACACAGAGAGACAGAGAGAGAGAGAGAGACAGGGCGGCTTGGGAGAAAGAGAGAGACCCGGCAGTACTGGTGAAATATCGGCCACTCTATCGCTGTGGTGACAGGGGTCACTCTGGGAAAAGGAAATCAATGCTGACAGCAATGACTCACAGGTCAACACATAGTATGTGTGAGTGTATGTGTGTGTGTTTGTGTGTGTGCTTTGTATGAGCTTGTATGCGTGCGTGTGTTTCAATTATGCATTTGTTGAGTATGCGTTTGTTTTCAACTGTGTGAACACAGGATATGGTTGTGGTGAAATAGTAACCAAAATATACACACAAGAACATACAGGAGCATCCAAAAGAGGAAGATCCAGTATATGTGAAAGTAATATTTGATGCATGATGCAGGCAGACTGGCTACCTCTACGTCTGCCAAGTGAACAAGTTGCTTTTTAGGACAACCACATTAACTAGAGGAAACAACACAACTGATAAACACAGACAGACTATTTAAGTTCCTCTACCTCCTTCTTGACGCCACTGCACAATCTTTTCTAAAAACTTGATATATAGAAGTTGAAAATAAGTTACTTTGTATTTGAACACCAACAATGATAGAAAAGTGTTTTGTTGTGTTAGAGCAGCATTCATCCCACTGATTTTAGCAATGAAGACCTTTTCCTTAAAGACCACTGTGTATGTGGACTTCAGAGTGCAGTATCTTAAGTAGTATATCTTATTAATTAAAATACAGTGGGCTCAGTTGTGCATCCCCCAAACAACATAAATAAAGACACAATTACACATACACATAAAAGTCACACAAGATTTTCTACCCCAATCATAAAACATTCATATTCCAACGCAGCTGCATGTGACGATGGGAAGACCTGGCACGTTGGGGTCAGTGGCTAATATAGGTAGGCTGTGTGTGTGTGTGTGTTTGGAAGTGTCAATATGTGTGTGTGAGTGGGTGTGTATGCATGCCTAATATACCCTCGGGTTAGCAGGAGTTACGACCTGCTTACATTATTAAGGTGAGTAGTAGGCTGCGTTATGTATGACTAAACAGCCAGTCCATTCATTATAGATGCAATCCCCTAAGTACATGAATAAGCACACAGCCTACTCTCTCTCTGCTTCTCTGAACTGTAAAGGAGACAAAATATTGTGTGTGATGCAGAGCGCTTTAGATAAATCAGAAACAGGAGCAAATTAATAATAAGGAATAAAACAACATTAGCTGATTAAGTATGTATGGCAGAGTGGCGGCTGTAATTTACAAGCAGCTGGGATGGGTGTCCGGAATAAGGTCTCATTACGGATCACAGTGTGTGTGTGTGTGTGTGTGTGTCCATCCCGTCACCAGTGGTCTCAGCTTTATGAAAAGGCCTGCAATCTATGATAATGAGCCTTGTGAAGGTTATGGCCACGGTAAACTAATTTGTTAGAGGGAGGGCTTTCATGTATATTTCTGTGTGTGTGTGTGTGTGTGTGTGTGTGTGTGTGTGTGTGTGTTTATGTGCAATACAACTATACCATTAAAGAGTGGTGAGGATATGTACTATTAAAGTAATGGTCAAAATCAGCAGAGTGCATGAGTGAGAGAAAAAGTATGGGAGTGAGAGAAACAGACAGATTACATGGATGTTGCATCACATCACTTAGTTTTCTCACTCTGTCTTAAGACAAACAGAACAGGCATATGCAACACATTCTTATAGAAGGGGATCGGTCTATAACAAGCAGTACTGTTACTTTCAAAGTGATCATATCTCAGTCTCCAGTAGAGGAGGCGAGGATGTCAAAAATAGTCAAACAAAACCTGTCACTGTTAAACACTGGAGACAAGACAAGAGTAGTGGCAGATATACTGCAGCAGTAGCAATAGCAGTACAAGTACTTACAGTCGTAGTAGGACAGGTAATATTAAAAGTAGAAATAGTAGCAGTACTTCTACTGTAAGAAATGGAGAAACTTATTAAGTAAGTCACAGAATCAGTTGACTTTCTCTCCTCCACGCTCACTGCTCCTATTTCTCTTTTTCCCCCCCTTTTCCTCCATTTCTATTCTTTTGTTTCCAGCCTCCAACCTCGTTCACATTCTCTTGTCTCCTCCTGTCTCATCCACTTGCCCCTCACCCACGCCTCGTCTTCCCTGCTCTTTTTCCTTCCCCCTTCCCCACCTCACTTTCGCTTTTCTTCTTTTCTATCTGAAAATAGCCCTCCATTTGCGCAATCATTCAATTTTTCCACCCCCCCCGTTCCATTCCTTTTGTCTGGAGCTAGGTCAACTGAAAGCAACAGAGGAGAAAAAACAAAAGCTGGAACGTGTGTGCGTGAGTCACCAGATCACAACAGAAAAGCGAGGAATGAAAAAAATAGGAGAACACGACTCATGGTGATGGTGACTGGAAGGAACACGCCAGCATTTTGTTCTGCTATGTCAACGCTTATATGTTTAGAGTGAGTGTGTACTAATAATGTGGACTTTCATTTTGTCCAGCGTGAGCTTAATGCATGTGTAAAGTGATGCAACTATGATGATAGCCTACAGGAAAAAAGCACACATCTGCTGCCTTACACATTCAGGACATATTTCTGTGCCACGTAGGGCTGAACGATTTGGGGGAAAAATCGAATTGCAATGTTTCTGCAAGATATTGCAATTACGATTTGATTTGCGATTTTTTTTAATTGAAGTTTTACTTAAGTTTATACTCACTGCCTGTCTATTTTTGACGGAAGCTGCGTCAAGCAGCAAAGAGCAGATGAGCCAGGCAGGAAGTCAGACACAGAACGACATAGACAATCTGGTCGATTCAAAATAAAACACACTTTGCAGACTCCCGATCATACATCAACAATGATTGAATGATGAACAATGATGAACAATGATGACAGTTAAAACAGACAAAAAAAGAAACAATTTAACTATGTAGCTACTTAACCATATTATAAGCACAAAAATCAAGGACAACTGAACAAATAAGCTAAATCTGAACAAAAGTTAGCAAAGTCATACAGGTAAAACAGGTCTTATTCTGAAATGCTCCATGTGGATATGTAACGTTAACTTGAGAGTGGAGAGTGGAACAGAAAAGGCTCACAGAGAGCTGTTATCTGTAATTGAAGCACATAAAATAAGAAATTAACAACACATTAACAATTTGAAGGCTAAACGCTCCGCTACTGAAACACTTCAGCGTGATTTGATGCCGGACAACACCGCGGCACAGCCGCTGCATGTGTCGGTTTGGCTGCCGCCATTATCCCACGTTTTCGTCTAGTTTCGTTTGTTGTTGTAAAATGTACTCGTCCTGTGCCCGCTCTGATTGGTGAGTAGGACCATCACAGGAAGCGCATGACGCTTGTGACTGGTGAGCAGATCTGTCACACAAGGATGACAACGGAATAAATTTGTAACTGCATGACTCTTTAAAACAGGTCAGATGTGCTCTATAATAAACGATTAATTGTTCAGCCCTAGTGCCATGCAAAGACACTGTATGGCGTCAAAATGCACTTGATGAGCCTATATATAAATATACAGTTTACACCCACACAAGTTTATTCCATTTTACATTCTACATACTGACAGTTTCTTAAAACATCTTATCTGTGCAATCTGCAGAGCAGGAGCAACAACGATGCAAGACTTGATTGTAAAGGGACTCAAGTGGTCACAAAGTTATCATGTTTCAAATGCTACTGACAGCTGCTTTAAGATATAAAATTTCCTTACCGCGCCAATATATTGCAGAACCATTGGGAGAATGTATATAAACCTTACTTATAACCTATAGATTCGACACCAAACCAACAACAGGAAATGTCTGCCTGGTTTATAGATTATGTAAAACATTTGCACAATAAACATCTTTTATGAACCTGCCCTGCGTACATTGGAAGAAGCACTCTGCGAGTGGTGTGCTACAGTGCTTTTATGTTGCTCAACAGCTTGCAGTTTCAGTCCACAAGATATTGCACAAAATGCTGGGGCATTAGCATGCACTGCACCATATTTTTATTTGATTTATGAT